GATTATCTCCAATTTATCCTATATATATCATTTGTACAAATTGTTTCCATGTTGTCTTCACAAAGAGATTGTGAGTTCCTTAAGGGCAGGGAATGTTTTTGCCTTTCTTTGTATTCCCAAAGCTCATTACAATGCCTGGCACAGATGTGTTTAGAAAATAATCGTTGACTTGACTTCTTTCATTGTTTCCAAATAATAGGAAATAAGGTTGGACAGGCAAACAGATTACGCAAAGCCTTAAATTATCACCATCTGCATTGTACTTCTTAAGCACATATAAGCCTATATAATCGAAATCTACATAAAGCATGAAACACTATATAAAGCACATAGAGCAGGAGTTAGTAACCTATGGCACGCATACCAAAGGTCACAGAGAATATTTTTAACAACTCCAGGGCTATGGCAGCAAAGATTTGGCAGCGACCAGAACCTTAGGGTATCTACAGCAGAATCTCATTCCTGCCAATTCTAGTTAAGATACTAAAAGCTATGGGCATAACTCCTTGGGGAATGTATTTTAATAAGAAAATCCAAAGAAATTGGTTGGGAAGGAATAGAAACTTGGCACTACTTTGTTTATTTTTGCTTTTTGGTGAGACAATTGGGGTTAAGTGACTTGCTCAGGGTCACACAGCTAGTAAGTGTGAAGTATCTGAGGCCAGATTTTAACTCACGTCCTCCTGACTCCAAGGCCGGAGCTCTATTCACTGCGCCACAAACTGCCATTGGTATCCTACTTTAGAAAGGCTCCCAGTTCCAGATCAAATGAGAGAATATATATATCATGTTTTGCAAACCTTAAAGTGATATATAAATGTCAGCTATAGTAATAACTACTAGTAGCATATAGATAGCGTCAAGTTTGTTTCCCTAAGAGTCTGGGCTATTCCTGTTCATAAATCCTTATGGAAAGGCTATATTTTAACCCTTTCCATGATGCTATAGTATGGAATGAGATTAGGATCAGAAGCTGAATCATTCAATTAACCCCAATCACACAATTCCTAAATGATACAGCAGAATGTACACAGAAAAAGCTGTAACACATTATTTGAATGTCTCAACTATCAAAATAGGTTAAGCATCCCCCCTCCCCTCCTGCCCACCCCAAACCTGAGAAGAGGGACCTATGTCACAACATGTGTACCAAATTAACCATGCAGTCTGTAATGCATTGGTGCAAAAAAGATTCTAGAAATGGCAGCTGCAGCCACAAGCAAAATAAAAGGCTTTTGTAAATATAAATGTGACAGAGACTGTTTGTCCCAAGTTGGTCTTTTTAGTCACAGATAAAAAGCACCATGAGTAAAATCATCTTCAAATAAGCAAAGGAATTACATCCTCCCAAATTACATGCTTCCAAAGCAGGATGAGAATTGGTGTAAGACTTGTTTTTTTCTTTTCCTGTGACATTTACAAAGATATAACCTTGCAGCAAAAGCCTGGAAGGGGATGTGTTTAATTGTAGAGAAATGGAGAACATTTATGCAAATAGACGCATTAGCTCTGACAGTATTGGTACAGGGAGGCTCTCAATGAAACACACGGAAGTCACTTAAATGCTTCATGAGTCAGAGGGCACCACAGATCTTCTTGCAAACATTCTTTTGCATTTAACATTTCCTATCAGTAGGCTTCAATGACACAGGTTTTACTTTTTTTCCACCTGCCAAGTAATCTTACTCTAATTGACCTCCTCCTCAATATTCATCACTGAAACCATCTTCTCAGACAGTATTCAGGATGATGTGCATATGACTTTCAGAAGTTACATGGCTCCCACATCTCAAGTTTAAAACCTGTTTTGGAGATGCAATTAGCATTCACAGTCTTCTGCCAGGGTGCTGCTTCTTTATCCTGTATTGAATCCAAAGAAATGATAATAATAGTACTTGACAGTGGTATAAAGGGTTTATAAGATGTGATTATCCTCTTGAGTGTGTTATCCTCAGAATGTACTTGGACCATGGTGCTTTTCACTTACATAAAACATTAGATAAGTATGCTCACAAACTGATCTAAAACCTTCTTGAATCTATGTTTTCAGTTTATTATGAAGACTAAAAATGTAATAAAATTTGTTGGAACTGAAACTCCTCAACAAAAATGTCAGCTTCTAACCTATCACGTCAATGCCTGGGATGATATCTGGATCAAAGCCTTGTAAGTCCAGTGCATCCATAGTCACAGGCCACTAAAACAAAAAGGCCGAATGTACACCCATACACAGAACAGTCTGAAGTTTGGAAGAACATTATCTGAAACTGAATGCAGTCAAATTACTATGACCAAAGGGATGTGCATAGGTGGGAGAATATTGGTGCAGAGCACTGCCCTTAAAGTTTAACTTGGTTGATGTGTTCGGTTTTGTCGAACTGGTTTTTCTTTGTTAGAGAGGATGACACAGGAAGGGGAAGGGACATAATGGGAAATATATAAAAACACACCAATAAAAATCAAAAAAAGTCTGATTGTAGAAAACAAAAGGAAATAATGTGTTGGATTCAGTCAGAGGAGCTGGGTTCAAATCCAGATTGGCCAACTTTGTGAAGCTGGGCATGTTATGCCATTTCTTTTGTTCAGTCATTTTTTGTCACATCCAATTCTGTGACCCCATTCAGGGTTTTCTTGGCAAAGATACTAGAATGGTTTGCCATGTCCTTCCCCAGCTCATTTTACAGATGAGGAAACTGAGGCAAACAGGGTGAAGTGACTTGCCCAGTCTGAGGCTAGATTTGAACTCAGGAAAATGAGTCCTCCTGATTCCAAGCACAGTGCTCTAACCATTGAGCCACCTAACTGCCTATTCCATTTCTTTGAACTTCAGTAAACTGTCTGTAAAAAGAGTAGGTTGGACTACGTGACCCTCTACGGTCCCTTCCAAGTCTAAATCTATGAGTCTATGTGTAAGAAGGCAGGGAGAGACTAGTCTTTCAACTCTGGCAGTGACAGCCAGATCTAATAAAACAAAATAGCCTAAATTACTTTAAACTTGTTGAGATGTGTTACTTATTTCATCAGGCCATTCAGAGATGAGGCAAGGTACATGGCATTCCTGTATCCATTCCAACAGTAAAAAATGAGAAATGTCTACAGTGATCATAGCTTTTCCCCATTTTCAACCGAGAAAGACAATTTGTTTTTCTGGAAAGTGAGTGTGGAATCTCCTTATGCAGCCCAAGTTTTTTGTTACACATCTTTTGATCTTTTTCAAATGCTGAAGTATAGTAAAAGCAATGTATTTGGAGTCAGAAGACTTGATTTTGTATCCAGGTTATTATCTGTGCAGACTTCAGTATATCTATATAGATATCTCTCTCTCTAGCATCCCCCATTAAAATGTTTTAAAATGCATAAAAAGTAATAGGACTATGAAGGAAACTAATGATATTGAAATAGTTCTCAAAATAAAAAAATTCTCTCTCTAGCTTCCCTCATTAAAACGCGAAGTCCAATCAAGGGACTGTTTTGGCTTTTCTTTGTATCCCTCACAGCTTAGCACAGGGCCTGCCAAATAATAATGCATTAGTAAATGTTTTTTGATTGACAACTGACAGTGAGGTTTGCAGGGGACATTGTATATATCATCTGCATTAGCCTGTGAGTTAGGCACAACTCACTGGAGGTGCAGATATAAATTTCCTCTAGGTCCCTATTTCATAGAGCACCTGAAATTTCACCAAAGGATCCCCAACAATACATTAGTAGAATCTAAATCAAGCTCTTAATTCACCCTTCACTAGGACAAGTTAACTTAAAAGGAAAACAAACTCAGAAAGGCCTCAAAGGGCTGTAGGGTTTCCAGAGTGGGAATAAACATGTGGAAGATCCATTACTTGGGATATCTAATATAGCAGGAAAGCATTCTCTCATAGACCAACGGTCCACAAAGATCTTAGACAACTTGCTTGTACTCATGTGACAAAAAGAATTGGCTAGGTCTGCTTAAAAACAAAACAAAATAAAATATATTTAGAAGATATCATAAGTGTGATCTCAGTGAAATGCTAAACACCAGCATTTTAGGGATGTAAAAATCAAGAATGCAAAATTCACACTGCTCTGAGTAGCTGCATTATGAAACAAACTAGTTGGATGATCTTGAACAAATGAGTACAGTAATACAACAGGTATTAGTTCTTAAGCATTCAAACAAAAAAAGTTAGCTCAAAAGTAACTGATGTGAGGGTATATCAGAAAAAAGACTACTCAATTATAATATAAAAGAGAAATTTTTTTTCTCTAGTGCAGGGGTTCTTAACCTTTTTTTGCGTCATGGACTCTTGTGGCAGTCGTGAAACTAATGGACCTCTTCTCAGAATAATGTTTTAAAATGCATAAAAAGTAACAGGACTATAAAGGAAACCAATGATATTGAAATATATATTAAAAATATATAATATATTTAAAAAGTATATTAAATATATTAAAAATATATATATTTAAAATATATATTAAAAAAATGAAGTTTGCCTGCTCCATGTTAAGAACTTCTGCATTAGGTGACTCCTGAAGGCAAAACTAGGATACTTAAGAATGAGAATACTAGATGGAGAATCTTGTAAGTGGGTCTTCCAAATATGAGGCGCCTCAAAATTATCCTAGATGAAGTTCCCAAAATGGACTCATATTCTACAATACACGGATACAGGAAATTTATGTCTGGATCTCAAGGAGCACTGTCCCATTTTACAAGTGATGTAAAGGGCTCAGAAGGGTTAAAATAACTCATGTATGGCCACAAGGCTAATTAAGGATTCAAAATCAGGTCTACACTTATTACAAATACAAAAAGTCTTCCACTGTATCAAGCTCTAACCTTCATAAATGTAGCATAAATCTAAAGTCATGAAAGAACAAAAACTTCTTTAGTTAACTAATCTCAAGATCAGAATAACTTTTCTTATCTCTCTCCTTATCTTTTCTCCAAACTAAGTCATCGACAAAATTTGAATTGTAAGACCAAGAAGGTGCTTCAAAGATGATCTACACTTATACTCTGATGGATTCATTTGTTCATTTTTATTAAAAAACAAACCAACAAAAAAAATCCTAATGACAGGAAGTTTGGCCCAATATCTTATCTTAACTCTAGTACACAGTACAATAAATATGGTGCCAAAGGCTAAGTTGAAGATTTGTTGTAAATTAACTCCTTGGAGTTTACACATTTCAAGATTCCCACAGATAATGTTTTTGAGGTGTTAAGACATAGCAAGGCTTCCATTAAGACATCAGGCAAAGAAAGTATGAAACGAATAAAACCAGTCCTAAAGCACTTTGCAAACATACAAAGTCAAAAGAAGTGCTCAAATAAGAATTGTAGATAAAAAATAATTTTTCAAATTGAAAGCTTTCTGATCTATAGATCCTTAAAATATTCCACAAGAAGTTGACATATAACACTGTGATCACATAAATCCTCCATTCTTATAAAAAGGCACAGAAACATATCACTTGTTACTGCAATACTCATTCCAATGTCTAACAAGATAAATAGTTGTTTCCTCTCAGCCTGTGTTTGGGGAAAAGGGTTTGCGGTATTTGCACTGGATCCAAACTCGATACATTGTCAGCTGTTTTCCCCGGTTCACTTGGAGCCGGTGATCCACCATGTTCTGAACTTTTTCCAATCCAGCAGTAGTGAAGAGTGTATCTAGTTCATCTGGTTTAGGAAAGATAATATTGGCAAAATTGTTTGTCCAACAGAAAAACATTCAGTTCACCATACCTCATATTAACCCAAACTCTTAAGATTTTTCTATGATGAAATGCCTGCCATCCTTCCACAAATTCGAACATGCTAAATCAATAGTCTCCAAAAGTCTGGATTGTGTAATTTAATTACAAATTAAATGCAAGTACTATTGCCGTATTTTTAAAAATGAGACAAACATGACATAATGCTTGATTTTTGATTTTAGTGGCAATAGGGAAAACCTAGAGTAGGACAACAATATGGTCAGACCTACCCTTTAGGAAAATCATTTTGGCAGCTGTATGGACAATAGCCTGGAGAGGAAAGAGACCAGAGGCAGGGAAACTGATTAGGAGGCTACTGCAAAAGATAAGGTGATGGGTGGTAAGAGCTAAACCAGGGTGATGGTTACAAGAACAACAAGAAGAAGGCAGATGAGAAAGAAGAGAAGTAAACAGAGCACTAGACTTTGAAGTTAAGTAATTGGACCTAAGTCCAATTCTATCTCAAACACTAGCTGTATGACTAGAAAAGTCTCTTAACCTCTTTGTGCCTCACTGCCCTCATCTGTAACACTAGTGGGTTGAACTCAATGGTCTCTTCTAGCTATCTATCGTCCTATTTTGAACTAGAAATGATGACATTTGGAAAACAGTTAGATATGTGGGAATACAAAGCCATGAGTTTAAGATGTCACTTAGGTTGTGAACCTCGATGACTAAAAGGATAGTGGTACCCTTGATGCTATTAGGGAAGTGTGGAAGAGCAAGGTACAAGGCAGTCAGGGTAAGGCACTCTTCCTTCCCCTTATCTTCCCTTCACTCCTCCAACTTCAGTTCACCCAGACCCACTGGGCTATTGGGAAGGAAAAGCAATATGGCTGCTCATATCACATTGATGAGTCATCAGTGACAATTCTTTTGGTGAAAACAGAGGATCATTAAACTTTACCATCTGCCTTGCTGGGATGTCCTCTGGACCCCTGGGCACTTCCATATGCGCTGCTGAGGCACTTTAAGAACCTCTGGATCTTACCATGAACCTCACTGCTGGACCCTTAGAACTTTTGAACCTTCATCTACCTTGAAGCTAAATTTTCTTACATGTTTTATCTACCCCATCAAAGCATGAGTTTCTGGAGGATGGGGATTATCCTGATTTTTCTATTTGTATCTCTAGCACTTAGCACACAGTAAATATTTAAATGGATTTTCATTCATTCACATGGTGAAATTGATGATACAGATCTTCACAGCAGAGGAAGAGGGCCAACGTGGGGAAGTGTTAGGAGGAAAGAGTAGATGTGGCTTTGTAGAAACAAGCCCCATGATCTGTTATGAGAAGGGTGGAATGCTACTCATCTTCCCACTCTTTAATTCATAGCCCCCACTTTGGAGACCACTGTTCTAAGTATACCCTAATTTGGTTGAGATTAGAACTCTGTAAATGTGTGAATGAAAACCACGTGTAAACTCTATAAATGTGTAGAACTTGGGTAAATGCATTTGTTGTAATTATAGTAAAGTAAATCTTTACTAGGGCAGAAGAAACAGAGCAACCACAAGGTAAAGACACTGGCAGGCAGAGAGAAGGAAAAGACAGATAAGGGGAACAAACGTTTGAAAAGTCTACAAAAGTCGGAGCTGAAGATGGGCTGTTTGTAAATTGGGTGTATCTACAGGTGAGGAATTCAGAATACGGGAATTGTAGAATATAGGAGATAACAATCAGCTGTCTCCAAAATAACAATTTTTGTTCGAAACTAGAGTTATAGCTGAAGCCCAGGAGCCTTCCTTAGCCAAAAGACTAGGACCAAGAGAGATGATACAGGCTGGGGAGATGTGTGTCAAACATGTCAGAACCAGAAAACCCAGGTGGACATGCTTATTTCAACTCAATTTAACAAACTTTATTAGGTGTCTACTATATGAAGTGTGCTAAGTGATACATACAAGGACAGACATGACAAACAGTCCCTGCCCAGAAGGAGCTTACATTCTACATGAGGCTCAATCAATTGAAGAGTTAAGTAAACACAAGGTTATTTGAGAAGAGAACACTAACAACTAGGGGGTTCAGGAAAGGCTTTTAATAAAAGGTGGCACATTAGCAAATGATTCATGAGATGTAGTACCGAGCAGAATCTCTGACTATAATTTACAAATCTGTGTATTGCTTTAACTGTCCAATACTTCAGATGGCAGCAAAAGTAGGTTTTACATCTAAAAAGGCTGAAAAATGGTTATAATGTGCTAGTGATATACTATGGAGAACCTGGTACATGGAATGGGAATGAGGTTAGGTTTAGATCCCGAGGTTCAAGTTTTTAGGAAAATTCTCTGTGTTTCCTTGGTTGGTCGTGGCAGAAGAGATCAGTGGCAAACATAGTGAATCCCTAGTTTAAGGGCGTTTCGTTGTGGAAGTACTATGCTTTGAATGCTTTCACTACATACATATACCTCTGTGTGTGTGTGTGTGTGTGTGTGTGTGTGTGTGTGTGTGTCCCTATAATAAAAGCTTACCTCTTTTTTTAAGTAGGGAAAAGATACGGCAGAGTATGATTTATGAGGCCATTGGAGTCTGACAGATCAAAGTACAACAAAGGAGTGTCTGTGAAGAATCACATTTTTAATAGCTGGAAGGGACCTTGGAGATCTTGTTTTATAGATAAGGAAACTGACACAGGTCAATGCAGATGGAAGGAGGAAAGCTTTTTTCTGACCATTTGGAGTACAGAGCTTCTGACTATATTATGTCCCCTAACAGGCTGTCTGTGCATGTCCTTTATCCCTTTAATTGTTTTGCAGCTTGGAGTAAAGAGAGGGGGAGACTAAGGAGCTATCAGGCTTTGTATAAGGAGGAGGCTAGCAAAAAAGGGAGCTAGCTGCTGTTTTGTAATCATCTAGAACACCGATCAAACATCTGGGCAAAGGGAACTGACTGAGATGGAGGGCTGGATTAGAAACAAAACTTCTCAGAATGGTGGTGGGGATAAATGTCCACATCCCATTCCATCACTGTAACCACCTCATTAACTGCAGGCCAAGGATATCTGAGAAGCTCTGGGGAGTGTGAAATATGCAAACCTAAAACCATTGACAGTCTTGAAAGAGAGAAACTTCACTATTGTTCAGCTAATAACTTAAAGAAAACGGATACCTATGGACACAGGGTAGCATGTTAGCCAATATAATGGGAATCCAGAGATCACTTAAAATTAAGAAAAGTTAGCAACCTCAGGGCCCAAAGCAGGAGTGGGCAATACCTGTAGGTAATACAGGTGGAGGGGAGTGGGAGAGAGAGAGATGGAGGGGAAAAGGGAAGAAGTGAATGGATAGGAGGAAGGGGCTGAGGAGGAAAGGGAAGAGAGAGTAGAAAATAAGAAAAGAGGAGTCTGAGAAAGAGGAGAGAGCAAAAGAACAAGCTGATGATGAATGTGGGAGTAGCACCAATAACTACTAAAGATGACATTTGTTGATACCAGTGGCACAGAGTGCTTCACTTCAGCTCTAAAATGCCATTCCATCAGAAAATTTGTCAGCATATTCATTTGTACCTTCTGCCTGGAGTTCCTGGGTCATTAAATAATTCTAACAGTTAAGGTGTTCCTTTTGGCAATACTTGCAAAGCATCTGTGGTCTGTTTAAGCCACGAGAGTAAAAGGATCTTGTGTATAACACAGCAAAGTGGAAGGCATATCATACCTTGTGTGAAGAAGTAAACTCTGGTACCATCACCTCTCACATAAAAATTTTCAGACAAACATCGACCTGAAAAAGAGACTGATATGTTGCAAAGGTCACATGGCTAATGTTTCTCTTTTATATGAAGATACTCAAATACTAATAACTGTGCAAGAAGATATTTTTCCTAGGCAGAGAACATCATTCTTTCTTGGCTACACAGGGTATTCTGAAATACCTGCTATCTTTTCCCCTACAAAGGACAAGATAGACTCTAGAACAGAATAGACCAGTAGATGTAATTTAAAAAACTATGCATCCAGCAATACCTGTTTTAAATCGGAGTTGAGCCATGTCATAACGGCCATAATCTCGCAAGAGAATCATCCCTCCAGGTTTCAGAAGATAGCTCAGTCGGCTGACAGCATTTTGCATCCTGGGCAAGTGAGGGGAAGGGAAAGAAGAAAGGGGGAAAAGGCAATAAAGAAATTAAGTTCTCCCTAATGACAGGGCATTCTCTTCATTCAACACTAAAAAATACAGTAGAACCTCTTTAAGATAGGAACCATTTTATAGTTTTAGTTTTTGTCTCTTAACTAGTCAGAATCAGGGTGCACAGGCATTTCTCTGGTTGCAAATGCTTCCCAAATACACCTGTTGGCCCAAGGCAACCCAGTAAGAAGCATAAAAAGAAGTTAGAGGGTAACTGGATCCTTCCCTAGGATCAGGCTCACTTTGGTGTTTCTGATTACTTAGGTCATTTTCTTGAACTATGTGACCTTTCCGATTGTTGATCCCTTAACACATCTCTGTTCTAAACTGTCTTGACTAACTCTCTGGCTCCTAAGTTTTTGACTTGCCACCAACAGAAAATGACAAATCTCCCTAGCCTCCTCTACTGTTATACTACTTGGCGTTCAGATTAATGGCACACATCTGACCATCATTAACTACAAATCTCTTGGTCTCTGTCTTGTTTTAAGGGTTTCTAAACCCCTGACTCGCTCTGCCTTCTGGCAGGTAGTGTCCTCAACTCTTGGCCTACCTCCAAACCTATTATACCTGGATGGCTCATGTCCTGTCTGGCTATTCCCCCTATACACCAGAAATAGGAACAATGTCTGTCTTATAGATATACAGTCTTACATGAAGTACATATTGATGTTTCAGAGAACATGAGTTGTCCTATTACGTGAGTGAAATGATAAAGTTAAGCTTGCCATAACAGAGTTCTACTGTAGCTTTCCAAAGAGATTAAAATAAGACAAAATTTAAATGCTATCTAATCAGTTTAAGCTTCAATTAAAAATTAATGCTTTGATAAGGAGGTTAAACTAATTTAAAATATCTAAAGTTCAACGGTAGAGTACCTGAAACTAACTAGAGATAATCTAAAGGCAGTGATAATTACATAAAAGAAAGGGTGAATCTATTAGCACTGGGAATTTCTTTTCACACACTGTCAAAACTTGCATTATCTAGAAAAATGAAACCAAGATAGCACAAAAAGTCAAATACTGACTACTGCAGCCAATGGTTAAAAGAGCCAGAGGTCCAAACTAAGGTGGATCCCCAAGATATAGAAGGAGATGAGAAGCAAAAAAATTAAAATTGCCACCCTTCCTAGCTAAAATTTACAAGAATCCATAAAGCATGGATGGGATGAGTTATCTACATGAAACCTTCTCCAAAGGAGCTTACCCAACAGTAACATTTGAAGGCATGTAAATGAGATTAGCATTATGCTTTGGAAAGCAGCCAAGATATGATGCAATCAATGGAAATAAACTGTACATTTAGGAATCAGAGTCCTACTATACACTGTCATGACCATACTGTATCTGGAGTATATAGTGGTCAGTTCTGGGTGCCACAGTTTAAGAAGGACATTGAAAAGTCTTGAATCTATTCCATAAGAGGACTGGGTGAAGGAAGTGATGATATTTAGCTTGGAGAGGACTCAAGGTAGACATGATATTGTCTTCAAGCCCCATGCTACTCCTTCCTCTGTACCCACTGCTGAGGACGTCACATCATACCCCTCACCAAAAAAACAAAAAACAAAAAACAAAAAACTGAGACTATTCACTGAGAGCTCCCTGTTCAACTCTTTCTCATTTCACATCTCCTGTAATTGTCCTTATCTTGTCTTAGTCTTTAATGAGACAACCCTTCTACTCGCCAAGGACATCCTCTCTCCATGTTCCCTTGGCCCTATCACGTTTCATCTTCACCATCAGATGGTTCCTCTCATCATTCACACTCTCTAAACTTTAATCTTTTTCTATATACTGGCTCCTTCCCTGCTACCTATAAACATGTCTAAGCTCCTTAAAAAAACAAAAACCAAAACCCTTCACTAGATCCTACCATGCCTGCCAGCTAGTGTCCTATACCTCTCTCTCCCTTTTTATTTTGAATTATGTGGAGAGAAAAAATAAAAAGCCAAAGATCTTCAACTGGCCAACTCTTTGTAATATTTTTAATGCATATTGAAGTACCAAGAGTCCCTTAGACTACTGACCACACCCTCTTCAGGATATTCTTTCTTCTCTTGGCTTGTATGAACACTGCTCTCAGTCCTTCTACCTAACTGCTCCTTCTTAGTATCCCCTGCAGGATAATCCTCCATCTCCTGTCTCCCAGCTCTGTCCTTGACCCTCTTCTCTATTCTTTCTACCAGGGGTTCCATGACCTTCTCTATATCAATGACTCTTAAATTTATATATCTAGTGCTGCCTGGATGTTTTGCCAGGACCTCACTCAGAATGTCTAAATGGCTTTATTAACTTCCTCCTAAATTTGTTCCTTCTCTAAACTTTCTTTTTTGTGTTGGGGGCAATACCATTTCCCCAGTGTACTAAACTTGCAAACTTTCAAATATTTTTGTCTCTTCCTTCTTCCTCAATCCTCATATTCAATCAGTTGCCAAATCATTGTGATTCTACCTCATCTCTTGTACCCAACCCCTGTTGTCCACTCAAAACAGCAACCAGCCCAGTTCAGAACCACATTACCTCTTACCTAGAATGCTGTCATAGGCTCCTAATTGCCCTATTCCCAAATTTTCCCTTCCTTTCTAATCCAACAGCCACCAAAATGATCTTCCTATGTTAAGGGTTTGACCAAGTTGCTCTACTGTTCAAAAACCTGCAATGGCTCTCCAGTGCCAATAGGCTAGAACAGAAAACTCTCAGCCTGGCATTTAAGGCCTTCCAATGGCTCCCACCTATCTTTTTAGCTTTGTCATACTAATCCTCTTACAGACCTTATGTTCTTTAGACTATTAGCTGATGTTCCCTGAACTCAACACCCGTCTCTACCTCAGTGCCTTCACAAGCTGTCTTGTGGCTGAACTTTCTTATCATTTTTACCTTTTAGGATCCTTATCTTCCTAAAGGGTTAGCTGAATTACCACTTCCTCTAGGAATCCTTCCTTGATCCCTCAAGTTATTAATGCTCTTTCTCTTTGACTTTCCTCTTAATGCTGTACTGTTGTCAATCCTACCCTTTAGTCCAAGTAGAACATGGGCTGCTTGTGAGCAGTGACTGTTTTTTTAATTCAATTTGATTCAAAAAGCATTTATTAAATCTATCTAGTACAGTACCTTGTACCCAATATATTAGTACTTATTAATATTCACTGAATTGCTGAAGATGAATTTGACTGATAGCCCAGTTTAGCCCTAGGAAAAAATTATGAAGTAAAGAAAGGTTGTCTTTAATCCTCTCCCATTTAGCCAATAAGTGTTTCTTTTCCCACTCTTGAAAACTTCTATAACTATAAAGCCCATTTTCTTCTCTATTAACTAAAGTAAAACATATAAGTAGAGATGTTTGCAGTTGGAGAAAGTATTACTGAATGTGGAGAAGTAGTCAAGACTCAAAAAAATGAGGCTAAGGTGGCAGAATGACACCACAGGGGGATGGAGGTGAGGAGGGAAGGAAAGGGGAAAAGGCTATGTAATCATTAAGGTAGGTCACAGGATGTTAGAGGTATTATGAAGGGTACTTGAGGGTATGTGTAGAATCTGTAGAATCCACTCCAGCATTCATCCCACCTATTTACTTTGTTGGTAGCTGAGATTATCCTGCTAATTAGGGTGTCTGACCATCCTGGCCAAAGGAACTGATCAAGTTGACTCATACCAAAGAAGCTTCTTTAGGAGGGGGAAGGATATGCGTATATGTGTGAAAGAGAAAGAATGAGTGTGTGTATGGGGCAGGGGAGGGGGGAAGAAAGGGACATAGACAGACAGAAAACAAAAGTATATGAAGAGTTGTTATGAAAATGACACTGGTCATCAATTTCCTATGTCTACAGATGACTGTGATTAAGCTCTTTTGAGAGTTTAATTAGGAAGGCAATTATTTTTGGTGTCTGGAGTTATAATTTCATCGGTATAGGTAACTCCCAGTATGGAAACTCCCCCCACTGGCAACTATTCTGCAATTTGTAGTTTACCAGAGTTGTCTGGATCACTAATAGGTTAAGTAACTCGCCAAGTCTGAGTATCATACAGCTACCATGCATCAAGAGCAAGGACTCAATCCCAGGTCTTCCTGACTCCAAGGCTGGCTTTATATTCACTATGTTAAACTGTCTCTGAAGGTATGCGATAATGATTGATGCTATTTACATAGCACTTCATAGTTTACAAATTGCTTCATTCGTTTGCTTAATCTTTTGATGACACAGGACAAGGTTTTAACAACTGAATTAGAAAGAAGACACACTTTAGGGATTTTGTTATTTCTTCCATGGTTCCAGGAGCAGCTTGAAGGGGGAAATGACAATTGCTAAGAAACACTCACTGCCTCTACAGATAATATTTGATTTATTTTCAATCTAGAGTCCCCAGATATACTAAGTTTTATACAGAAGACATGATCACTGAGCAGAGTTTTGTCTTTGTGACCCACTATAGAGTTCCCTATTTCAGAAAGATCTAAGACTTACTTGTCTGGGACAATTGATGAAAGGACAAAGATGAGAATAATGATATCAAGACTCTCCTTGGGCATTGGGTAACTCTTATCCTCATCACACAGATCGTGAACAAAGGCAAAACATCGAGAAGGATCATACTCCGAATTTGTCTGTAGCAACATTTTCAATAGGGACAAAAAGGATGGAAGTGTTAACAATAACATTGAGAAACATGCCTTGCAGGAAATGCAATGATTATCCACTGAATGATTGCTCTAATGCTATACGGATAGGGAGCAGGCCTGTGATTTCATTAGTAAAGGCAACTCCTTGGTGAAGAGACTGTCTACTAAGGCAGGGCAGCATTTTCTCTGCAAAATACAGTATTAGAGTCACCTAGAACACTGAGAAGTTAAATGACTTGCCCAGGGTTACAAAGCGAATACACTTGGGAGGCAGGACTTGAATCCAGATCTTCTCAGTTTTAAGGATGGCTCTCTACTATAACATGCTGCCTCTCTGTAATGCTTAGAAGAAGTGCTTTACTTGTAACTTAGGGAACTTAGTGATGTATGGGCTGGGTAAGAGGGTAAAGGAAAACACTTTAAATTAAGTGAGCATTGTTAATCCCTAAACTAAACTCCTTTAGCTCCCTAATCTGATCATTTAACCCAATGCTGCACTTGATGCAACAGGAAGTGAGATCTGGAAAAAAGATGACAGCTCAGTAAAAGGAGGGGGACACCTGCATCTTAGGATACTAAGAATACACATGAAAATATTCAAGGTTAAAAAAAAAACCTCAACTGTCTTTAGTCTTTTAAATGTTCCTGCCTGCAAAATATTAGAGAAAACCATAACATTCACTAAGAAAATCAACTTCTATATGGTAAATATACAGTTATTTAGTTATCAAAGAAGCTAAGATACCTTTTGCTACTATACTGTATTACTCAATTGTAAACTCTTGAATACAGGGACCATATCTTATTTATTTTTGTATCTCTCTTGAGAATTGTATACATAATAGGCAACCTAATAAAATTTTATTAAGTTAAATAAAACTGAATCACAAAATTTTAGAGAAGGCTATCTAGAGAGTATTTGGTTTCTCCCTTCTTTTTAAGAGTAGAAAACTGAGGCCCAGAGAGGCTGGCACAGTACCTGGCACAAAGTAGGTTGCTTAATAAATGTTTGCTGATTGATTGATCAAAGCCATATAGTGAGTTAATAGCAGAGATAGTCTCATGTTCTTTCTATGGCAACACACCATTCTGGTCTTTAGCAAAGAGTCAAGCAGATATATATTTTAGATGGAACAACAAAATCCTTTTTACTTTTAAGCCTTAGTATGAAGAGAATATTGCAAAATACCTTAGATATTTAACAGATTTAATTCCCTCAAAAGCATATGAAAGTCGCTGATATGTGGTATGCCACTTACCTGGACAAGATCTATCGCTGTGGCAGAAAAGTCACAACAATACACAAAGAGTCCTGGGTCACTAAAATAAGCAAAAGAAATAGAAATGACATATTTTACTAGCAACTGCAAGATACTGTATTTCTATTCCATACACAATTATTAGTTAGAGAAGGAAAGGTGGTATAAAAGTAGATAAACTGGCCAACATTTCCATTTGTTCTTTTTCACTTTGTTGGGTTTTTAGAACTGATACATGTGATGGCAGCAGATACAAACTAGTTGTTATCAGTGCTGTTATGTTCTATTCTGATTAAAATTCTTGTTTATAATGTCTGAAGTCTTGTGTCTTGTAGGGCCAAGTTACTTTGTATGGCAGATACACAGTCAAACAATTCTCTTTAGGGTGTTTGTTGTATTAAATGTCTATAACTTATTGGTCATTTTAAAACATTACTTACCTTTTTATCACTTCCCAATAGTTGCAATTCAAATTAACAATAACTAAAATCCATTCTACTCAAATTTATAAAACACTAACTGTTCAAGCTAAAGGGCAATTTACTCCTCATGCTCAAAAGGCAAAACAAATTAAATGTTCTAAGATCTGTATGTATTTAAATATTACAAATCATAACTAAATTGTGATTCCCTGCTCTCTTTTATTTGGTCATTCCCTAGTAAATTCATAATGCAGCAATGTGTTCCTCACTCACGCCTAGATCTTTTTTTCCTGTAAAAACTTCAATGACGGTGATGTACAACTTCTACCCTAGTACTGTAACAATAACTCAGTTTATTAATCTGATGCTCATCTCATAATATCTTCGAGGGCAGTAACTATAATTTTCTTTGTTCAGCTAGTCCCCTTTTATTAAGCATATAGTGAATATGATTTAAAAAACAACCAACCAATCAAAAAATATCAATATGATCCAGCTAGTAGAATATGTTTGAGGCATGTCTGGTATGACAGAAAATTACTTCGAGAGGCTGGATCAAGATGGTGTATGAGATCCGAAATGGATGGAGAGCAAAATACAAGAGGAAAAGAGGGTGATTCCTTACCCTTTGTGGCAAACAGGGAAGGGGCAAATTAGGAAACAATCTTTATCACCTTGACTTAAGGTAGAGGACCTTTAGGATAGCTGTCTAGGTAAGAAATCCTTTGGTAGGCCCTAATTTGGTGAGCTATAGAAAAGAGGTATTTTTAAAAAATTGACAACTATATTTCAATATAACTGATTTCTTTTGTAATCCGACACACTTACTTTACACATTTAAAAGTGTAATTCTGAAAAGGGGTCCATCGGCCCCACCAGAGTGCCAAAGGGGCCCATTACACAATAAAGGTTATGAACCTCTGCCTTAGAGGCATTACATATTAAAATAATACTTTAATTTCTGGACTTGCTAAAACTACATTAGGGCACTGAAAATAAACTCATTTTCTATCTCTTTGCTGTCATATTTAAACTTTACAACACTTACTTGTTAGTATGTAAAATTGGAAAGACTGTGTTTCCCACACCACAGCCAACCTGTAGAGGGAAGAACTGTTATTCATAAAAGTTTCCAATTATTCTACTGATTTACCCACTACAGTTATAATGTGCTTGTAACAAGTTCTTTTTTCTTTTTTCCACTCCTCTCCCACCACCACTACCCACGGACTTTGGGCAAGATATAATCACCACTTCTGAAAGTTGATTACTAAACAACAATTTGAACTTAGGCATTAAGAAGAAGTAGGTCTAAAAGACAACAGTACACACACTCTGGGCAAAAAGAGTTGGTATAGAATAGAGTGAAATTATATTTCACTTTATGGAATAGATAAGCATTCTACAAAATTGGCTCAAAGACAAACACTATTTTGCTAATAACTTTCATTATATAATCAGAAATACAATCTCACAGAAAAATCCCTAGTAAACTGGATTGAAATTTTTTGGCAAGTATTTCTATGAAGTGTTGCGTATTGGGAGTTATACTACATAGAAACTTTCTCAATTCTAGGATCTCCCTTCACTCACTGTTCAATTTTAGACTGAAGAAATTTTACCCATGTCTGGGAAACCCTAAAAATACCTTTTGAGCTCTTAGAACTATAAATGGTAGAGAGTAGAAATTACTTCAAGGCTTGCAAACCCTCTTTAGGATTTAACACTACAGGACAGCACTGTCTTGGGACCATTTACATGACTGAAATAACACAACACACAACCTTGTTGTAGTATCACTTTAGTTAACATCATCCGGTGGTTACAGGGTATCCCAAAAGCCTTACTGCCGTTTCAAAAAATTTTTATTTATTTAATTTTATTTTTAATTTATGGAATAAAACAAGCATTTCTATAACATAGTGTAATAAGAAAATGATAATTGCACATGAAATTGCATACCTATTATAGACAACTTGTTATTCCTTTTAAATATATAATAAAGTTATCACATAAATTTCTTTTTTCCTCCCTCCCCACCCTAGAGATGGCTACCAGTTTTAATTTTAAATTTGTCAAGTTTGAATAGTTTTAAAGTTATGCTGTTCAAGTTTTAATAGCTTAAAACTGTATTAAGACTTTTGGGAAACCCTATATACTTGAAGGTAATCCATTCCAGAATGGATTTATCTCTAAAATTTTGGTCTGGTACTGTCTGGATCACTTTTGTTTTAAAAGATCCCACGAAAGTGATATGAGTATCAACCCAGAGGCATAAGCCTGGTTAATTTTTGTCACTGCCATCATCAAACAGCAGCAGTCTTTAGTCTGCTGTTATTTGTAGTGTGCCAAGTACAATAAAATTTTCATTATTTAAATTTTAAAGTTTGATGAATGAGAGTTACCTCTAGAATGCGGTAGGTGGCTGAGGAACCAGGAAAGCCATCAGTATTTATATCCAGATGACAGAGATTCTGAGTTGCTTCATCTATGGGGTGCTTCTGCTCCTTATGATTAAGGCTATGTGAAGAAGTTTTTTGCTGCTCTTGAGTATTAGATACTATTAATCCACAGCCTCTGTGTTCAATTATTTCATGGCCACTGTCTTTTAACAGCAAGCTCTTCAGGTTACTTTGATTGTGGCGAGGAGTCAGTTCAGGAAATTCAGTAAAAAGCCAGTGTCTATCTTTGAAAAACCCATTTTCATGGATTTTGTAGAAGTTATTCCAGTATTCATGTGCATTGACCTCATAATCAACTGTAAAGAGAAAAAGACAATTATAACTCATATGTATATATTGCTTTAAGGGTTACAAAGCACTTCTGCAAAAAAACAAAAAAACAAAACACCTGTCATAAAAATCCACCTTCAAAATATTTGATATCTAATTGAATTAATTTATTTATGGATATGAAAGGCTTCTCCCAACACAGTTTCAAATTAATAGGTCCTCAAATTACTTCAGATTTTTAAAAAAGCAGACAGAGATACTGAAACTTTGGCTAAAAGGAAAAACGCTCTTGTGAGAAATAAAAAAAATTACTGAATGAAAGGACAGAAGAGAATAAAAACAGCACAGGTTGCAGAGAAGGTGTTTATTCTTTAGGATAGTACTGGCGTTTGATTTTCTGCCCTATTACCCAAAGAGTATTGCACTGACACACTGTATGTACTTTATCAGACGCTCCTCTTCCTTCTTTACTTAGTTTCATCTCCTTATTAGAAATGGAATTCTTTTTACCTGTCTGGCAGAACTTTCTTGGGTAAAAGTTATTAGACCATACTTCCTCCCAGTGTTTGATGGTAACTGCCAGCTCTAACACAACATTCTATTTTCCAACAACTTTGAAAGACTTTAGAACTCTCATCAGTGCACTGACAAACCATGACTGAAAAGTAAACACACTACCTACCTCCTACCAGAAAGAGGACGGTCTTAAAATATAGGATGAGATAAATATTTCTGGACAGGGCTATTTGATTATGCATATTTGTTATGAGGGTTTCCCTCCTTATTGCTCTACAGGGGAAAGGGATTGGGGAGGAGAGAAAATAAATGTTCTTAACCCTATTTTCTAAGGATATTTCACATTTGAACACTGCTACTTCTTCTGATTGGTACTAAATAAATACATAAAATTTACTTCATTCCCCTTAAGTGTCTGGGACTTGAAGGCTTAATAAATAAATGCCTGTTGAGTGATCTCTCACTTCATAATCCAGGCAGGCACATAGAGAATACATTTTCAAAGCATATTGTTCAAGTGACTAAGTAGGTCAAATCACATTAATTTTCATCTACAATGAAAACATCACAGATGGCAGCTTTCTTTGGATCCCCAGGGTTTAGCATAATGCTTAATAAATGCTTGTTGACAAAGGTGTCTCAATTGGGATAAAAGCTGAAAATGGGATCCTTAGGACACCATTGCTGGTTTTTTTTTTTGGACAAACACAAAAACTAAATACATATATACATATGTATGTACGTATGTATGTATAAAACAACCTGACGAAAGTTCCTTTTCTATAGCAAATGATTTGCCTGTACTAGCGCTCTATCCTAAGAGTGACCTTGGATTAGTGCAGAAGCCTTAAACCCTGCAATGCAACACTCCCAAGTGCTCCAAAACCACATTAAAATGTAATTAAGAAATACTTAACAAAATAAATAAAAATACAATAAAACAGATAATGTTAATATGTGGTTTTCTAAGTCGACATGCACCTGGCCGGGCTTTAGCGGCCCTCCTTCCTATGAGTTTGACACTACTGATTTAGTGGACACTAATGCCCTCTACGTCCCTTTCAGCTCTAAATCTAGGATTCCATAAAAATAAGACACAAACCCTAACCTTGAACTGCTTATAATTTAAGGAGGGTGGGGGTGGAAGAAGACAACCGTGCAAATAAAGATTAAAAAATGAATAACAGGAACAAAATTTTGAGAATTCAAAAGAAGGAAGCAGAGTGTGTGTGTGAGATTGTGTGTGTTTCCAGGTGTGGGGGACCTGACATGCCTAAAGACAAACGTAACCAAGAGTACGATCCTTGCCGGCCCTCGCCCCACCCCTCTAGGTTACAGGACCCTCGGGGGCCCGGCAGCACCTTGCTTTTCGGGAGGCACCCGCTGGGCGCTGTTTTCCCGGACTCTCCTCTCCGCCGCCTCCTCCTGCTCTTCCGACCACTCCACATTGTCCCTGTCGGAGAAAAGCGAACGAGTGTTTCAGGGACTCACGGGGCCGACCCTCCCCACGCCATCCTGCAGGGCTGCGGGACCGACTGGGGAGAAAAGGGATTCCCGGAACGGCAGCACGTGACCTCCAGCCAGAGAGGGACGAGCCGGAGACTCGGGCTGCACCAGGACCGTCTCCATGGCGACGCTGAGGGAGGAGCAGAAGTTGGGGAAGGGGAGGAGAAGGCAAGGATGTGGGCTGGATGCGAGGGAGGCTGTTACCAGGCATTATGGTGGAAAACACGGGACGGATCCTTCAAGAACCGAGTGCCAAACTGTACTCTCTTTCCGCCGGTAGCAGCGGAAACATCCCCTGGACAACAGTCGGCCATGACGCAGGAAGCGGAAATGATTTCTCCTCCCCCGGAGTAAAGGCCCCTAAGAGCCATCCTGGGTGGGACAGAGGGCTGGAAGGTCGAGCGCAGGCGCAGAGGCAAAGTGACTGGGCGGGAAAAGGAAGACGTAGGTTCTAGGGTCTGATTGGAGGAGAAGGAGGAAGTTAGGGTACGGGGCGGGGAGGTAGGGGCGGGGCTGACTCCATCCTTCTCTTAGCTTGCTTTCCTGTTTACTTGAGCCCCGCCTATCGGGGAAAGCCCTGGGCGGAGTCAGGTTTCTCCCTGGGCAGGTTTGACGTGGCTTAAGAGAGGATAGAAAGGTGGCCGCTAAACCAAAAAACCGGGAACCGAATCCTGATCTAGTCATATATTTACATTCTAGGGCGTAAGAGTCTAGGCAACTCTATAAGCCTGGGAGGTTCAGGGAAGGTCTCTACCTGCAGTGGTAGAGGGAGTTCCTCCTGCGGGAGTTCCCTGTGTCATGAAAGCATGGGACCAGTCTCTAGTGCAGGAGGGGGGACCTCAGAGGCCATCTAAGTATGTCCTTCTCATTTTACAGATGAAGAAACAGATTGAGGGAGGTTGTGAGACTTGCTTAGGATCACACAGGTAATAACGATAGTAATAATGTCTAGCATTAATTTAGTACTTTAAGGTTTGCGGAGCACTTTACAAATATCTCATTTTATCCTCCAAAGATAAGAAAGAAGGTGCTATTAGCATCCCCATTTTACAGAGGGGAAAACTGAGGTTAGGTAATTTGCCCAGCTAGCTCTCATCTTCCTGACTCCAGATTCTGCAATCTATCCAGTGTGCCACCTAGCAGGCATGAGTGAGAACCACAGGCTGTGAGCCCAGGTCTGACTAATATTCTCTCAAGATGAAAAGCTTCCTGAAGGGGCTCCGCAGAGGAAGGAATTGCTGGTGTTTGGCAGCCTAGAATGCTCCAGAGCTGGAAAGGTAGCTCATAATATGTATGAACTGGAAGGATTATGGGGAATTTTTAGCTTCAGTAGACAATGAACATCCATTAAGCATTTATTTGTTTTTATATTTAAAATTTTTTTTATGTACCACCTGTGTAAATGATTTAAAAAATACAAATGATGTCCACTTTAAATCTTGTGCATTTATTTTTTTCAATTAATATTTCTCATTCATTCTCAATAACTGATATCAACAGCAATCTTACTCTATTAAGGCAGTGCATTGAAATACTTTTTTTAAAGTAGGAAAAGATATTAATAATGACCTAATAGTTAATAGCATTTATTAACAATAAATTAATAAAAATTTAACATTAAAATTTTAAATCAATAATATATAATAATACTATTCCCACTATTCTTTTTTGGCATTGTGGTTCAGTACCTGAATTTTAATTCAGAGGGTTGCTATTGCATATCAATATATTATGTTGAAATAAATGTGGCATACCATAGCATAAATATCCTGTTGATTTTCTTTTTAAAAATTTGTTCCTCCCATTGCCTCTTCCCTGCTCTCACATTAATAAAAAAACCTGAAAAATAAAGCACTCAATACATAGCTGCATAATCCAGCAAGATAAATTCTCCCATTGGTCACATCTATAAAGATTTGTCTTGTAAATGCATTTAAATCTCTCAGTCAGGAGGTGAATGGCATGTACTCTCTCCTCCCTTCTCCCCTTCCTCCACACCCCTTTTCAGTTTTCTTTTGGTGTTTGTTATCTTCGCCCAAGAGATGTTAACTTTTTGAGAGCTGGGACTATCTTTCTCTTTTGTATTTTTGTCTCCAGGCCTAGTGCCTGTCACCTAGTAGGTACTTATTTAATGCTTATGGACTGACTCACTCACTGACTTTGTTCATATGGTCACTACCCAAGTTCATGCCCTCTTCATCTTTCACCTGGACTATTTTAATAGCTTCCTAATGGCTCTACTTCCCAGAAATCCTTTCCTTCTCCCACCTATCCTTTATACAATTGCCAAAATGGTATTTCTAAAGCACAAATCTGATTGTCACTCCTCTGCAGATGAAGCTTCAGTGGCTTCCTAGGATCAAATACAAACTCCTCTAGTTGTCATTTAAAGCCCTTCAAAATCTGATTTTTACACATCTTTCCAGTCTTATTGTACTTTATTCCCTTTCATGTATAAGTCACAGAAACTCATCCTAACACAGTAGAGCAAGTATTACATATACACTCCTCAAAATAGGGTTTTTTTAAAATGTTCCTCACAGGACATATCTATCATCTCTATGCCTTTGCATAGCCCATTCCTTCATGCCTGGAGACCATACAACTCTAACCTTCTCCGCAATGGTATTTAAAATAAAAATTTCCTTTTTATTGCTGACAGACATCAATAATGATCTTAACATCAATATGACCTTGACAAATATCAACGAATTTGCACATTTCCCTATACAAAGAATAGAAAAAAGAGGACTGCATAAGAAATCATGAATCCCTGCTACATACAGCTTTTTAAAAAATAAGTGTATTTCTACTTAAACATTGTAGTTTTAATACTCTTCTGCTTGTCTCTGCCTCTTCTTAACTTCCTTCTGCTCTTTTCTGTGTATTTTAAAAAGATTTATTGATATTCTTTTCATTCTTTTTTGTTATCACTCATCTACTTGCCTTTTTAATTCTTCCCCCTTAAAAAAAAGGCCCCCATGTAACAAATACAGACACAACAAGTTGGTGATGTCTGAAAACACATTTCATTCTGCACCTCTAATCCACCAATTCTTCAAGAGGTGGGAGCTTCATTATCTGTCCTTTGGTGTAGTAGTTGATTGTTATATTGAGCAGAATCATCTTTGGAAATAGACCAAGTAATGGTATTATTACTGGGTCAAAGAGTAAAGATAGCTTAATATGCAGATTTTTTGACCTATGTATAAAAGGTCTCATCATAAACAAATTTGAAGGACAGGGAAGAAGATCCTTTTGCAATTATGGAAAGAGGGAAAGTTCTTGACTAAACCCTCAAACCTCAGCTATTGTGTTAAGAAGTCACTATTTGACAAAAACTGTTAGGAAAATGGAAAAACAGTCTGGGAGAAATAAGGACCATTTCATAGATCCATGACCAGTTCTTTAGTGTTCTAATCCTTCCAAAGCTCCTCCAATAATTGTCACTTCCTTCCCCCCTCTCCCATCTTTGCCAATCTGATGGATGTTGGGTAGTAATTCAGTGTTGTTTTAATTCTACTTTCTTATGGATTTGTAGAATTTTTATGTGATTGTCCATACCCTGTTTTTCTTGGAGAATTACCTACGTGCTTGTATCCTCTGACCGTGTATCTAATAGGAAAGTACTCTTATTCTTATGTATCTATTTGAATCATTTCCCCCTATATCTTGTATATCAGACTTTCATCAGAGACATTTGCTGCAAAGATTATTTTCCCACTTAAGTGCTTCCCTTCTAATTTTAGCTGCATTGATTTTGTACAGGCAAAACCTTCAATTTTATGTAATCCAAATTGCCCATTTTATGTCCTGTGATTTACTCTATCCCTTGTTTGGTCAAGAACTTTTCCCCTATTTATAGTTGCAAGAAGATCTTTTCTATCCCTCAAATTTGTTTATGATGGGACCTTTTATACATAGGTCATCTATTCATTTGGCACTTACTGTGGTATGTGGTGTAAAATGTTGGTCTAATTAATCCTTATTTTTCCCAGACTGTTTTTCCATTTTCCTAATATTTTTGTCAAATAGTGAGTTCTTACCACAATAGCATAGTTTGAGATATGGTATTACTAGGCCACTTTCTTAAAGCAGATGGGGTTAAGTGACTTGCCCAGGATCACACAATCAGGAAGTGTCTGAGGCCAGATTTGTAACTCAAGGAGATGAGTCTTCCTGACTCCAGGCTCTGTAGTCTATTCACTGTACCACCTGAGCTGCCCCTGATATCTAATAGTGTCAGGTGATTTATAAACGCTCTTAGGTACTAGGGATACAGATTCAGAGAATGAAACAATCTACATTCTTACAAATTCACATTCTAATGGGAGACTCTGTGTGTGTATGTGTGTGTGTGTGTGTAAAGAAAATAAAAATGAAGTAGTTACTTAAAAGTTTTTAAGGTAAGGAGGGCATGAGCAGTTGAGAGGGATCGGGACAGGCTCCATATAGAAGTAGTGTTTGAGCTAAGTCTTTAAGGGAAGAGAAAGCTCTGAGACAGTGGTGTGGAAGGAATGCATTCTAGACATGCAGGATGGCAGTGCAAAAGCTCAGAACAGAGATCAAGTCCAGTTTGGCTGGATTGTAGAATGCTGGAAGGGAAGTTATGTGCATTGAAGCTGGAAAGAGAGGTTGGAACAAGGTAATGAACTGTTTTAAAAAAGAAGCAGAGTACTTTATATTTTATCCTAGAGGCAATAGGGAGTAACTGGAGTTTATAGACTAGGGAAGTGACATGGTCAGATCTGCCCTTTAGGAAAATCACTTTGACCACATTACATAGGATGGACTGGAGTAGGGAGAATCTTGAATCACAGAGAACAGTTATTCGGTGATTGTTGTTATCTAGATGAGAAGTGATGAGAAACTAAACACAAGTGGTAAAGAAAAACTGTAGTTTAGGTAGTGTTTTTATTATATTGGCATAGCTCAACATTAGGTAATTAACTTTTCTCCAATTACTTAGATTTGTCTTTATATCTATAAAAAGTGTTTTGTAGTTATATTCATATAATTCCTTTATATGTCTTGATAGGTTGATTCACAAATAATGTATCCATTTTGTATTATTTCAAATATAATTTATTTTCTTCTTTTTGCTTAGTTTTGTTGGTAACATACACAGAGGCTAATGACTTTTATGAATTTGTTTTATATCTTGCTATTGTTTCAATTAACATTTTGTTTGACTTTCCAGGGTTCTCTAAATAAACTATTGGTCAAAATAGTGATGATTTTATTTCCTCTTTTCCTATACTTATTACCTCAATTTCTTATTTTTGTCTTACTTCTATAGCTAGTATTTCTGCAACTGTATCAAATAGTTGAGCTAACAATGGATTAC